TGCAGTGTTTTTCAGAACATGGCTTCAGTGAATGGTTGGAGTTTCTAGGTTCAGTAACGAATGAGTCATTGATTCTTAATTCTTAGTGTGCCCCATCGTTAACCCTTTCAAAATAAACATGCTTTCTTCGATTTGGATGCCACCGAGCCGCTACCATCTTGGTTTTTGCTGCTCTGAGTGGACAAATTTTTTTATCTAAATTAACACAATTTTCAGCGAAAAGGGCTGTACCCAGTCCAAGGCAATTACGTTACCACCAATTTTAGATATTGTTTCAACCCTGTGGCTTGATACTTGTGCAGATGTAACTTTATTACTACATCTTTACAGCTTTACAGTTACAACTTCTCTGTAACAAAGTCTGCAAAGGGATTCATTATATTCAAGCTTTGCTTAAAGGATATTTCACCTGTTATACAATTAAATCTATAATTGCCAAAAAACTTATTTTCATGCACATAGTACCCTCAAGAGTATTCAATTAAGAATACCCTACGGTGAGCAGTAAGGCATTTGAGACCACACCTATTCCTATGGATATAATATGCTATTGGTGAATACAATTTTAAATTTTGGAGCTCTTCAAGCATGTTTGAACAGATAGCAAGTTTTTGTCGTTTTTGAAAATGTCAATTTTAATATCCTGAAAGGCCTGTTGGAGGGGGGGAAATACTTGTAGAACAACGTGTATTCTTCCATCCACAGAATAAAATTATAGCGGTAGTTATATGATGTGTTTAATCACTTTTGCCTAATGAAACGTATGTGCAATCAAACACAAAGCCGAGAGTATGCAAATAAAGGGTTGAGAAAGCACTTGTAAAAGAAGAAAAAAGTGGTTTACAGTGCAATCCTAATACAAGGAATCTCAAGGGACTGCTAAAAATAATTGGTTATTTTGAAAAGTTGTTGTAGTGAAAGTATTAAAACTTTGCTCAAAAATCGTAAAGGAAAAGATGTGAGTCGCCTAGTTGTGCTGTGTATTCAGTCACGACTGCGTTATGCGGGAATAAGCACAAAAGAATAAACACGAAATGTTAAGTATCCAGTGCATGTTTATTTGAGAAAGACCACAATGCTTATATCCTGTTGTTGGCAGCTTGACTGCTGAAAATCTAACTCTTAGGGCCTGTACATGCGCTACCCAAACAGTCGCAATACACATACCATTTATTTATGCAAGCATCCTCATTGCATTTGCATTGAAAAGCCATCGCACTCGAAATTTGCATATCGCTGTCTGCAAGTAGTGAGGGACAAACTTGGTTATTTGAGTGTGGTGTAAAACGTGCATTAAAGCCATTTCAAACGATATTAGCCGGCACCTCAGTGCTTTATTCGTGACTCATGATGCGTCGGCGATCACATGGCACAGTTTTCATGAACGGTGATTTGCCACTGCTTCGTTTTTTAATTGAAACTCGCAAGAAGCGCTTAAAAGATGACGCTGCGTGCCAGCTCTGGGCTATACAAGCTTTTAGGCTTGGCTCGATCAATGTTTGAGTGGGCGGGCGTTCCGCAGTGTGATCGGGGAACTTTGTTTTCTTTCTTTTTTTTTCGCCAAGAAACTGGCTTTTTCGCCAAGAAACTGGCTTTTGCGTGGACACGAATTTCTTACCTGCGCTACGCGATGTGAGCGCTTTACGCGAGTCCCGGCGTGGCTGGCAATCCCAAATCGTATTATCGGTAGTTCTACATCGCCCACTTTCTAAAGGCTTCGTTTCCAGCCACTTGGTGGACTAATGTAAAAAGTGTGGTTGTCAGCCAATTCTTGGCAAGTGTGTGATTATGGGGCGATATAAAAATCGGTGCGAGCGCGAGATTAGCGAAGCTTTCCACATTCAACAGTTTGGTGCTTCCTGTGTTAGCGTACCTTTGATTTTTCTTCACGGCTGCCAAATTAGTTATCTAGGGTCCCCTGATATGACTGGCTCTTGATAAGGTAGGCCGTTTGGCACATGTATGTGCGATTTCGCTGATGTTGCGTGATTATCAGCATATTCTGTTTTCCTATATATTGCAGTTGGTTTGCAATAAACTTTGGTTGTTAGGTCAATGCTCTGTTCTCATCTCTTCTATCTCTTCCTGTCATTTGCGCTGTTAAGCAATTTCTTTGCCTACTACGTTATGTCCCCCGCAAGAAAAACACATCTGATAGCAATCATAACGTATAATGATCCCGTAGTTGTTGAAATTAAGATGTACCGCTTTAGGAATATTAACTTATTAGCATGAAAGGAACATGTGCTAAAATAATGAACACAGGATAACAACTCATCCCTGCTTGCACGCTTTGGGCACGATCAATGCTTTCAGTTAAACCAAGGCCGTCTTCGCCCCGCAATTCTTAAACCAATATTGATTGCAGCCGAGGCCACCTTCCCATCCTATTGACGTCAGAGGCGGGCGTCACTACAACTAAGTTCAACTCCTCCACCGAATTCAAGCTCTACATGCTCTATATGCTTCACACTCCGGACAAAAGGAGAAGTCTCTCGCGCTTAACTGTGCCCAACTTTGCCTTTATCCTAATAATATGATACATATAACTCACGTAATCCAGTATACATAGCCCAGCTTAGTGCTCGGATGACCCTCCTTCTCACTCGTTTGTTCTTTCCTAACTTCTTCCTTTCACGCTCGATATTGACATTGTGGGTTGCAAAGTGTCCACAATGTTGGAGTTTTGCTGATTTCTAGTGCTCGCACTCCTACTTTGATGTTTCCTGTAAACTGACAAGTTGCCTGCACCTGTTCTCCGACTAATCAGCTACTTTTATGTGATTCTTACGTTGAGCGTATCCATAGCACGTGGTTGGACTTCATGAAAATTAAACGCAAAATGTTTCTAGTTGCTAAAGAATAGATAGGTGCTGCCTTTAAGGCTGTATGTTATTTTGCTGACGTTTTGGGATAGTAAATAAAAAAAAAACACTCTGGTAAATAGACATAGAAGAAGACAGTGGCGCTCAGACGGGAGTGAGCTATACGTATTAGTAATTACATCAATAATTAGCTGCATAACATAAAATAAAGAAGCAAATTATTTCTAGTTCTATAAATCGGCAAAAGGAAGAATAAATTTGTAAAAAAGCAATGTCGTGTTCCCATCACTCACCACACAGCGTCAGCTCGAATTCTTATACTCCGACGACTCTTGGCACACACTCTCACAAAAAACGATAAGTCCACGACATCATACACAATCGAGTTCAACTTTTCTCTTTTTTCACTGTGAAGAAGTGTACAACCAAAAAATGTCGCACTTTCAGTTAGAACATAACTGGGACCAGCAGCTTCCAGTTCAACTGGTTATGGTCCCCGTTGGTGGCCAGTTGACATGTAACTGGGACCAGTTACGCACTGAAACCACTTGCAACTGAGACCAACTGTTCCCAGCTGAAACTATTCGAGCTGTAACTGGGATTAGCTACTAACTGAAACCACTTGCAACTGGGACCAACTGTTCCCAGCCGAAACCAGTTGGCCTGTAAGTTGGGCCAGTTCATCCCAGTTAATGCCAGCTGAAACCATTTAGATTCCCAGTTATATATTTTCACCTCGGTGCAGTACAATTGACACTATCATGTCAGGCTTTTTTTTAAGTGAAGGCCCACTGTTACTTAACTACAGTTTTTTTGCAATCACAATTTTGAGTTTTTTTTAGTCTGATGCGTTTTTTTTTTCAATGTTTCCAGGGAACCTAGTTTTCAACAAAACCTGTTTTAAATATTTCATATGTTACAAGAGCTAGATAGGTCACATGGTATGTGAATATTTCAAATGTTTGTTACGAGGTTTAGATAGGTCACATGGTATGTGAAAAGGTAGTGCAGTTCGTACCTGGCAAAAATCTGTTGAAAAACTTCTTTGGAAATTTGTGTCAGCGTTCTTTCAAAATTTGTGCCAGTGTTTGCATAGACGCAGAGAATAGCCATCGCATTCTCGATGCGAGATGACTGCTTCATAGTCACATCCACGCCATCAAGCGTCCTCGTCGCCACAGCGTCGCACATGGAGACGCACCCCGCTCCATATCGCCTGTCGCCACTTCCTGCCTCGCACCGCAGTGTTCATCAGGCCTTCCATTGCATAGTGAGGTTTTGGAGCATTCCGCCTTGAACTCATGTTCACTGTTTTCCTCATAATGTTAGACAGTTTTTGTTCCCAGATTGACTTAATAGATACAGAGAATGGCCAGCCCATTCAGCGAGCAGCTTGCATCAAGATGTGATGCTCAGCTCAATCATGACCGTTGGCCAGGCCATGTCTATTGCTGTGCTGAACAGCTGACTGCGGACACGTCTCGCCGAGACACACGATGCCCTTGGCAAAGAACAGAACAGCAGGCCCGGCCGTGCCTCGAGATGCAGTACTTCTGCTAGCAACGCCGCCCGTGCTGGTGGTTTGCATTGTTTCCAAAGGCGTCAGGGCCAGGGTTCTTTGAAGATTGCCCAATAGCTACTAAACACGAAACTTGATAATTAAAAACAGTGCATACTAGCTGGTGCTCTTGTCTCAGCAAATGTAGCAAAATGCGCTGATTGGAACATGATCATGACTGTCACAAAAGGACACAAAGTACATGACACATGTATGAATGATGCTGAGGTTTTGTGTGTGTAGCATACGTGATTAGATGCTTGTTCAGGGTTGTTAAGGTTTTGTCAGTGAGTTTCTTTCCATTATTTCCGCCACATTTTTTTCCCATTAAACTTGTAGCACCAACAGACAATGCTTGTGACGTGTACCTTATTGGGATTCATGTCCTATTGGCACTGACCGTCATCAGTGTGTCTGTGTCTACTTTGCACTATGGATTCGTACCAACTGGCTTGCATCCACTCTCTTGTAAGCTTGAAAAGAGTGCCTGGTACGATTCAAGCGCCCGGAGATCACGGTGGGGCTGCTAGTCTCAATACAGTTGCTGATGCAGCGAATACTGGCCTGTAAGTACAGCCGTGGCACCAGACATAAAAGGGTGCTCTTGTTGGTTGCAGGTACCAACAGACTGGTGTGCGGTGGCTGTGGGAGCTGCACCGGCAAGGTTGTGGAGGCATCGTGGGAGACGAGATGGGTCTGGGCAAGACCATCCAGACCATTGCCTTCCTGGCGGGGCTCAGGCACAGCCGGCTGCGCACACTGGGAGACAGGTAGCACTCATGACCGGTTTCATTGCATAGGCTTCGCTCAAGACATCACAACGCCATGACTGATCCAAAGCGAGCAGAGGTCCTGTGTGTTTTTAAATTTATCGTAGCGCCTTAACACAGTATGTGTGCATCTATTTTTAGCTGTGTTTCATTAAAGCATTGAAGTCTCATCTTCCAGAAATCGTTCAGCTTTGTGCTATGGCAATCTATTAACAGTTACATGACAGAAACCCTCCCAATCTGGCTGCTCTGAAATAACTAGTAGACCTTGTTTGTCTGACCTTGAAAAGTCGAAAGGCTCAAAATGGGACAAAAGGGCCGTAATTGTTTTGGGGGTAATCGCAGTGATCTTTCTCCCCACTTGTGCTCTGCTACCTTAGAAGGATAGAATGTTGGTTAAATTGGTAAATCATGATGAAAAAATAGTGCAAGAAAAACATGCGACAACACAAAGGATATGTACATATTAACCACAAAAGGTTTTATTAGAAAAAGAAAATATATATTGGAAGGAAAACCACACCTTCACTATGAACAAAAGCAGAAACCTCAGCTGTGCATCCAGGTATCTTACTCAAAAAATGACTTAGTAGCCATACGGTGATCTGCGCTTTAAAAATGAAGAAGGTGTCAACGAATTGATATGCCATCCTGTAACATGGAAGCACTTCGGCATCAGGCAGGAGAGGAGTACATGGCAGGCCAAGAGAAGTTAACGTGTTATTATGCGCTTGCCCCATAGTCCCACGTCTTTTTGTGCCATTTTTAGTCGTCTTTGACCATGGCATAAAAGGGCTATGAATCACTCACCATGCAGTGATAGACATCGACAGTTCCTCAATCACATACGTTGGGAAACTCCATTACCAAATACAGACATGCCCATGAGAAAATTGGTGGAGGACGGCACACTGGCCTGGCAGCAACAGTGGGAAACACACAGCTGCAATCACTGTATTCTTCACTGTCGTCGTGCAACTTACTGCAGCAAGATTGAGGGCAAGTTCATTCGAGAAAAGTCAGAGTTTCTTGGCTGCAGGATTGACTGCTGATGTAAGCAGGCTACTCTCTTCAACATTGTGGTGTTACTTTCGAGCTGGTGGAACTCAACGCACATAAATCATGCTTACCAGTTTGTTTTCCTACGTACATGCAGCAGAGATAAAAATTTTGGCTAATGGCGTGTCCTGATAACTGGAGCCTGTTGGGAATTTCGCAACTTGTATTTAACCCTTTGCGGTCTGCTGTCGGTTAGCGCCCGACAACGCAACACAGCCGCAGCAGTCTGCTGTCGGGCACCGCGCCCGATAAGTGTGTTTGTGGTTTATATTTCGCGTTTTTTTCTATAAAAGTCGCACGTATCTTTAATATGCCTGCAGCACCATCTTTTGAGAAATGAGGGAGCTTACCGTGTTGAGGTTTACTTGTCTTTACACTAGGCTGCAGCAATATCTTCAGCACGGAGCCCAGAGCGTATTCACTCGGGCAAGGTTCGCTGAGAAGCATGGCCACGCTTTTACCTTTTACCGCGTATGATTTACAGTGGTGCTTTTAGCCAAAGTGAGGACGACTTTATTGAGTGAGAAGATCATATGTCTTCACCAGACAGTGACGTCAGTGATTCGACAGAAATGAGTAACGAAGAAGACGACGACGACGACGGTGGTGGAGAGGACACCTCTGTTCTTCTGCAAAACCTGAAGTAACAACCCCAACTTGCACCCAGACAATGCTTTGAGTGGTATCGTACGCTGTTCAAATATCACTAAAGAAGTTGCCTGCTTCAATGCAGGAGCAAAAATATATATCCAGTCAGTGTTTCTTCCACAGTTCGTGTTACTCTTCATGATGCCAAAAACTGGCGAAATAGTTTTGGACCAGTTGAGGCAGAAAGTGGGTAAACATTTCGGACTGCAAAGGGTTAAAGAACTCTACATGCAAGTAAGACAATGCTAAATGCTGTGGAAAGTTTCTTGACTTTGGTAAGTCTGATTGACTCGGTGCCCACTGGCCAGTCATTGAACCTGTGCTGCCTCCAAACTCAGTGTAACTGCTGTTTCTTCTGAATGAAAGTGTGATTGTAACACGTTCATTGCAAAGGTCACTGTGGCTTTAGTTTACCGCTGTCTCTCAAGAGGAAGGTGCAATGTCGTCCTTTATGAAGGGTGTGGCCTGTGCTCTGCGGCAGCTACCTACAGCACTGTCACTGGACTGAAAGAAAGTATACCTGCTGTTGGCATCACCGATTCGCAAACAAAATAACTAGTCATGGATGGTGGACAATTGCTGCTAGGTTGGGCTCCCTCTCTTCCATCACAAGAACGGGCGATGAGCGCAGTGCATCGTCTGCGACCAACAAATGGAGTGCGGTGCGTGAGTACGGTTCAAACGTCAGAAAATCTGTCTGTCGGCTTACGCAAGTAGAGCTTCGCTTCAACTGGAGTGATATAGGCGAGAGCGGTTCATACAGGTGAAGGTTTGGTTGTGGTTTGCCAGAGTTTCCTAAAATTAACTAAAGGGTCCTGGTGCTATGATTGTTCAGCAACCATGGGAATGATGGGTAGTACACAAATTTGCCTGGTGTTTGTGCTTGCGGGCTTCAAACGTACGTACTTGTGACTTTGTTTATTGCTGTGTTTTGTTTTATTTCGAATAAAAGAATGGACAATTCTGAACTCTGTGCTGCAATTCGAATTGGCGAGCTTAAAAAATTGGGGGGTGAAGTGCAACTGCTCAACATTTGCCGATTGTCGTCTCCTGACTAAGCCGCTTCAAGCCAGGTGAAGCCAAACAAAGCCAAAATTAAAGAGATTAGACTAATTTGTGTGCTACCCATCATTCCCATGCTCGCAGAAGTGTCATATGTTGCAGCTCCCATAGACACTAGTGCTAGAGCTCCCTCTAGTGTATTTGTAAAAAACTCTAGTTGGTTTGTTATTTAAAAAGTGTATATTTAAATGCCATGAAAATTTTGCTTTCCCACTTATCTGGAAAATCCTGTAAGCAGTGGAAGTATTTTGTCACATCTGCTCCGGATGTTAGGTCTTTTAGTATATTTATATTTGATGCTATAACGCCAAGCACAATGAAATCACTCAGGCCATTATGACAGTTTCATTTCATTTCATTACCTTAAAAGCCCAACAGGGGCAATACATAAGGGGTGGGTTTGCGTATGTTCATTATACATTGTTAAAAATAGCATTTCATTAAGCATTACGAACCAGAGCATAAGTGCACGCGTTCATTATTGTGTGATAACACAAGCAGTTGGAATGATGAAAATGACATCCAGTGATTTTTATTCTGAGAAATGATGAGATATTTCTTGTGTGAATGCGGGTGGGCTGGTTAGGGTGGCAATTTGCTGAGGCAGGCTGTTCCAATCTGTGGCTGTGCGAAAAAGAAAAAAAGTTGAAAAGGTAGTAGTATGGGCGTGGAGGCGGCCCACATGGTTGATGTGCCCAGTTTGATGCAAAGTTCTACCAGCGGGAATAATGTATGGCGGTTTATTAAGTGAACAATGATAAAACTTATGAAAGGGGATAGGGATGATACACGGCGACGAAAAGCAAGGGTTGGCAGACCCAAGTTCTTTCGCAACGACGACACGCTGACATGATATGAACATTGAGAGTCTACCGTATATACTCGTGTAAGGGCCGCACTTTTTTTTCGAAAATTTTGCTAGGTGCGGCCCTTACACGAATCAGGCCGATTTAGTACAGGCAGTACAGGCCAAAGGTCTGTACTGTTTATGCAACAGTAGCAGAGTGCAAGAGTCACAAATGACATGCCAGAAATGTTTTTATTCGGATTCCATTTCGCTGTCCTCGTTCTCGGAGGAGCTCGCCTCGGCGTCCGCGTCTTCCCAGAGACGGTCATCTTCGGTGCCGTTCATGGAGTTCGAAATTCCCGTTACCTTGAAGCTTTTAGCAACTACTTCTACTGACATGGCACGCCACGCATTCAAAATCCATTCACACACCTGTTGGAGCGACGCCCGCTTCAGCCGTCCTGTAGGGGTCTTCTCGTGGACGCCTCCAGCCATCCATTCAGAGTAACATCGGCGAAATTCCACTTTGAATGGTCTGTTGACGCATACGTCGAGCGGCTGCAGCACACTCGTCAGGCCACCGGGAATGACGGCCAAGTCCGTACGAGTTGCGGCAACTCGGTTCTTGACGCGGTCGGTCAAGTGGCCCCTAAAGCTGTCCAAAACAAGGAGGGCTTTCCGTTGTAACAGCCCTCCAGGTCTGTTTGCCCAGACGGTCTTAATCCAGTCAACGACCAGTTCCTCGGACATCCAGCCCTTCTCTTGCGCACGTACGACGATTCCCTGAGGGAACTTCTCTTTTGGGAGAGTCTTCCTTTTAAATACGACGTACGGCGGAAGCCTCCTGCCGTCTGCCGTGATGCACAACATCACAGTGCACCTTTGGCGTTCTGCACCAGTCGTGCGCACAGACACACTTTTCGCACCTTTTAAATCCACTGTGGTGCTTTCCGGTGCATCGAACCACACAGGTGTCTGGTCCGCATTCCCAATTTGGGACAGGTCGTATTCATGCTCCCTCCTGAGAGCATTCACGAAGCGATGAAACTTAATGACGTGGTCTTCGTACTCGCGCGGCAGTTTTTGGCAAATCGTCGTTCGGCGCCGAATAGAAAGCTGGTTACGGTTCATAAACCGCGTAGCCCAGCCCCGACTTGCCTTGAATTGTGCCGGGGGTATTTCCATGTGGCGAGCGATGCTGAGGGCTTTGACGCGTATCATGTCAGTCGATACGGCGTAGCCGTCCCTTCGTGTGTCGACGACGTAGTTGACGAGCTCGCTTTCGAGTTGCGGGTACTTGCACTTTTTCCCGCGAAACGCCTTTCGGCTCCTGTTAGTAGCGGCGAGGGCATCTTTCTGATTCATCCAGTAACGCACGCGCTTCTCATCGACGTCGTACTTTCGTCCAGCTTCCCGCTTCCCGTGCTCCTCGGCATAGTCAATC